GGACAAGAGATTTCTTTTTCCCTTCCTCTCCTTCTTACTTCTCCACTCATGGTCCAGTCTTTCATGCAAAAAGATTTTGTGGTGCAGTTGACGTATTTAACATCTTTTCATGGTTTTGCTAATTAGAAATGGTCTGTTTGATATCAGTAGAGGAATTATCTATATAATTTTTTAATCAACTATAAAATCTTCAAAATAGGTATCTGGTCTTACTGGAGGTGAGTGGATATTACATTTGAAGTGATAGAAAAACTGTTTGCAGCCTGCATTCTTTTATGGCCCCAGGTTAACTATTTTGGGTGGGAAGGAAAAAAAAGTTCTCCCCTGGATTTGAGAGATTTGCCAGAGCAGTGATGTATTTTGAGGTGAACAAGAGCTTTTGTGCACAGGCTAGACTGTCTTGAAGCAAGGGCTGCATGACGTTCATTGTGCTCTCAATGGAGTCTTGCTGCAAGTTGACAAGTAACAAATTTGACACCTTTAAATTGCTTTCAGTGACGTTTATCTGTAATTCTATGTTCTGTTTTCCTGAAAGTATTGAAAAGGAGGGAATTTGAAGGTAGCTTCAAGCAGCTGTGAATGAAGATGTAAGCAGAAGTATTGATAGGTGAAAGGAAGATTTGCAGCTCTGCGTTTTGTACAATATTTGCACATAACTGTGCAACCTGTTTTGGAAATGTATTAAACTGCACGTAAATCTCAAACTCTTCCCCACAGCTTCTAAGGGGTCTTTAATAAATGGTGTTAATATGGAAACACTATACCCTTGGCTGAAAGTAAAAAAGAATTTATTTGATATTTTAAAAATTTCAAATTAAAACTTTCTAAAATTTGTAGCAGTTATTGAATAAACCTGCCTGTAGTAATGCTGAATGACCGTGGGTTTTAATTAGAGCACCCTTTTGAGTCCTTGTAAGGAGAAGGTTTTTTTTTTAATTTCTTTCATGAAAAAAGTCAAGCCTATAGTGTCTTTTCTAATAAGTAGTGTGATTGTGTTGTAGTGTGTTTTGGTGTGTCGTTGTTGAGTGTTGTGTGGTGCGTATCCCTGTATTTTTTTCTGTAAATGGGATGGTTTATCCACGTCACAGGACTCAATCCACTCCCATGGGTCCATTGATGAAGGAAACAAATGTGCCTAGGCATGAGTTGCGGCTCTTGCCTGTGTCTGAGGAAAGTACTACGCTGAATGTCATGTTTTAGTGAACCTTTTGCATAACGTGTTCTCTAGGAGAATTTTACCTCAGTTACTACTTTTTTTTTTTTTTTTTAAATCTTTTTTTCTATCTTAGTTTAGGCATAAAGTGATGAAGTGGTTGAAGAAGCAGCCATGTGCCTGCAAAGCTGTAAAAAATCCCACTTGATGTTAGGCTGAGAATCTTAAATGCTTATCTTGTGTGTTGCTATTGTTTGGTCATATTGAACATTTTGGGTACCATTTAAGTTTCTGTTTTTATTGAGAGTCTGAGTTTGTTTAATGGATGCACATTACATTCTGGATAGGCGAAGAACTCAGACTTTTGAATTTCCCTATCATAGAAACCTTTAGAACAGATGAAAAGATTAATTCATGGGATAGTCCGTGTGAAACTGCACCTTTAAAAACAACTAATTGATCTAAAGACTGAGTTTGTCATGCCATAAAGAGTGATGGCGTCACAAGCCAGCATTTCCTGCCCAGGATAATTACCCAGCACTCTGGAAAAGAGGCTGAGAAGAGGTTATGCTCCTTAGATATGAAGAATTAAGGCAAAAGAATATGACTTTATTTGTCTTACAGAAATTGTGATTTCTAGTTGCCAATAGCTCTTTTCTTCTTGTCTGCTTAGTGCAGTTTTTATATTCTTAAACCTAAGGCTCTGATTTCCTCTAAATTGAAGTTTAAGCAAGTTCAGAGCAGGTCATTATTTTAATAGAACATCCCGAAGGAAACACCAGGTATTGCTGGACATGGTTAGTTGGTTCTTATAACTATGCCATAATGACTGGCCACGTCTGGAGAGAAAATGCTTTCTTAGTGTTTCTTTTGGGACAGTTGATGTGGAGAAACAAAGTTGAGCAGCTAAAGAACTTGAACCGTAAAGACAGGACCATAAGGTACACGAATCAGCATACTGTTTTTCTGTCTCCAGTGTCCCATGTAGGTATCCCTGATACAACAGATTCAATGCTCTGCAGTTCACCACACAATTTTTCTCTTTAGAAATAGTACTGTTACAAAGGTAAGACTCAGGTTCTGGCAGTGACATGGGTTGAGAAGTAGCTGGATGAAGCTTAGAGTAAGTAAGATAGATGTTACATTGCTAGAAAATAAAAAAGACCTTCAAAGAACTGATCGTGGTGTTGGCCTTTCAGTTCACTGAAAATAATTCTCTACCAATTTTTAAAGTAATGTGATACTTCAGATGCCTATGACACAGCTGTGTGTGGCTATGCAAGTAGTGTCCCTCTAGCAACTTGCTTTGCTTGGTTCTGACATAGGCAGATGTTTGGAAAGACTGGAACATCTAACAGATGCTATGAAATTCTTTACAAGTACAGTTGGTAGATACTATGGTGATACAGGAAACAAAGAATTAGCTTTCAGTGCAGTCCCTCTTCTGTGTATGTAATGTTGATCTTCAGAGATTGATGATAAAATAAATGAAACAGCTGTCCTGTTTCTGCGTTGTTTCTTTGATTCTGCTTAAATTAATAGGGAAATTAAGCAAGATCTTGACTAAATCCCATTATCATTTACATTTAAATAATCAACTGCTTAGATCTCTTGCAGAAAAACTGTTCAAGTATGACATCAGTATCTTCTGGGGAATAAAGCATGTGTTCACAATGTTCATTAGCCACCTAAATTGTGCTAGGTGCAGAATACAGAATCTAAGTGCTTAAGGTTCCAGTGTGGCTGGTACAGAGAAGACAGGAACTCCACAGGGTGAGATTTCGATACTCATATGAGTTGCATGCCTAAATTATATAGTGTAAATTCCTTTTTAGGTATTTGTTTCTTCACTATAGAATCATAGGATCGATTAGGTTGGAGAAGACCTTTAAGATCAAGTCCTTTACCCCAGAACTGCCAAGTCCACCTCTGAGGGCCTCGTACACATTTTCTGATACTTCCAGGGATGGTGATTTCACCACCTTCCTGGGCAGCCTCGTCAAATGCCTGACCACCCTTTTGGTGAAGAAATTATTACCTAATATGTAATCCAAACCCCCCCTGGTGCAGCTGACTGTTACCTCTTGTCCTATCGTTTGTTCCTTGGTAGAAGAGAGCTGCCACCTTCTAGCTCCATCTTCCTTTCAAGTAGTTGTAAAGAGCGGTAAGGGTTTCCCTGAGCCTTCTCCAGACTAAACCCCCCCCAGGTCCCTCAGCGGTTCCTCATCACACTTGTGCTCCATACCCTTCACCAGCTCCTGCCCTTCTCTGGCCCCGCTCCAGCACCTCAATGTCTCTCTTGCAGTGAGGGGCCCAGAACTGAACACAGGATTCGAGCTGCAGCCTCACCAGTGCCCAGTGCAGGGGGGTGATCACTGCCCTGGCCCTGCTGCCACACTGGTGCTGACACAGGCCAGGATGCTGTTGGCTTCTTGGCTGCCCGGGCACAAGCTGGATCATGTTCAGCTCCATCAATCAGCACCCCCAGGTCCTTTTCTGTGAGCAGTTTTCCAGCCACTCTGCCCCAAGCCTGGAGCACTGCATGGGGTTGTTGTGACCCATATGCAGGACCTGGCACTTGGCCTTGTTGAGCCTCATGCAATTGGCCTCAGCCCATCAACCCAGCCTGTCCAGATTCCTTTGTTTAGTGGCTGTCTTTCTGTTGCACAATGTATAAATTAAGTGAATATTTTAGGTATTGTATCAATGTTACAATAATAATGTTGCATTAAATTATATTTTTGTGCCTACATGTTACTCAGAAGTTTTGTGAAGTATTGTTTCACTAAAAAAATGGAGTTTTATTATTATCAGCACTTGGTATCTGTGTCTACATTAAAGTTCACTTCTCTCTATCTTAAATTAAGAAAAGTGTCTGTAAAGGATCAGCCCATTTCTGCAAATTACTGTCTTGCAGACATGTCAAGTTTTCTACTAGGGTATTGCTGCTGTTCACTTTTTAGTGTTAGTCCCCATGAGTGTAGTGCCAGATTCAGACATACAAAGAATAGCCCATATCCAAATCATAGTTTAGATAGTTTGACAGCTGTCAAAGACATATTTTTTTTCCCCTACCTCAGTGTTACAACATATGCTACTCCCCAAGGGAGACAAAAGCTTTCTGTGGATAACCTTATTGCTTGGCTTCTGTTGAGATGGCTGAGTGCTGCTGAACTGTGTTCTAAAAATTACTGTGGCATATAAGCCTGTACAGTCACTCGTGTCTACTGTTGGGCTTTTCCAGAATCCTTAATGTGGCTGACAGAGCAAAAGTAGTTGAAATGAATACCTTTGCATGTTGTCACTGTAGCTGCTTATCCATTGTTCAACTCACTATTGTATCACCATTCTCCTCATTAAGTGTCTAATTATTTTAATAGACTTTCCTGATGCTTTTTTCCCCATAGTTGTCTGATGGTTTGTAGATGAACTGAAAGACCTTGTCATGCTCAGAACTGAGCAACTGCCATGATAGAAGCTACAGGTTATATCAAGGATCTGCAGGACTAAGTAAAAAAGAGTGGGCAAAGGTTTAGATACTACAGTGAGAAGGTACAGGATTATGTGGCGCTGGGAGTTTGGTAGTTCTGCCTGTACTCATTAATGGAGCAGAAACTTTCAGGGATGAAAACTGCACTGAGCCAAATTCCTTCCTTATTTAAACAATGTTAATTTGATGTTTGTGAGTGTGTTGCTTTTTTTCTTTTTATTCTTTCAGTGATTATTTAGGAGAGAAAATCTAGTCTATTGCTTTGGTTGTTCTAAGTAGAAGGGTTATTTTCAGATAGAAGTGATAAGCCTGTTTAATTATTCTTGTTTTAATTAGTTCTTATTATTTTCTTGCAAGGGGCAGACAATATCAGGAAATACTGGAGTCGTTACTACCAAGGATCCCAAGGAGTAATATTTGTATTAGACAGTGCCTCCTCTGAAGATGATCTAGAAACTGCTAGGAATGAACTGCATTCTGCTCTCCAGCACCCACAGTTATGTACTTTGCCGTTTTTAATACTGGCTAACCATCAAGACAAGCCAGCAGCTCGCTCCGTACAAGAGGTATGTTAATGTGGCAGTGTTTTGCCTGGTTTTATTTACTATCTGCACACCACTGACCCAGTATAAATTACTACCTTGACATCCTAGTTAAGGACTGGCCTCAGTTACTCTTCACTGTAAGTATGCACGCCAAGAACAGTTCCAGCTCCAAACAACTTTGTCCAGTGCACTCCATGCAGGCTTAGTTGTTGTGGAAAACAGGCAAGTAATACTGGGATACAAATGGTTCTCCTGCTTTCACCATATTTTGCTTAAGGGAGAAAAGGCATTTTGAAACGACTCATCAAATGCTGCTGGGACAGTGATTTTTTTTTTTTTGTTTAGCTTTGTTTTTTATTTGCTATTAGTTTTAGTCTTGCACTGTCCCATTACTCCATTCTTTGCAACTGCTGAAAGTGATAGATCGTAGCCATAGGTTGTCTTTTATGTAAAAGCTGTTTTCTGAACTGCTGTGTACTGATGTGAAAGCAGAGTTGCAGTTCTTGTTCTGAAGTCCTTAACTTGTTCTGATTTTCTTCTTTAAGGCGTAATGTCTTTGTCTAACTTGTAGCTGTCACATAGTAAATTATATAATTGTTCTATTTAGTGTACCTTTGCTTTTAAGTTTCGAAAAATTAATCTTACCTACATTCCTATTATGTCACATACATTTGAGGAAATGCTGAAAGTTACTGATCCTTCCTGAGAAGCTCTCCTTATTCTTCTGAAGTTGCAGGAAGAAGTTACAATTTGGTTGTGTCATTCTGTTCATAAATGTAATTTAAAGGACTCTTTCTATTAAAGATTGTATGTGAAATCTGTTTATTCTGTGAGTGGTGTTTTTTATTACAGCAGAGTGAAAACTATTTCAGCACCTTGCAGTCTGGCTGCATTGTATTTAAACTTGGTGCCTTCTCAGATGCACTTTGTCTAAGATATAAAAATCTGATCTTTTTGAAGAATGCCAGTTCAGTTCAATGCAAAACTTACTGATCTTTAGGATAACTGCTATTTGTACAGTATAGTTGTATGTACTTTCTGTACTGCTTTATTGCTATTCATACCTCCTTTCTTAGTCAAAAGAAATAGTGGATAAAAAGTTAAGCTTATTGTGTGTTAAGGAGGAGAAGTGTAAATGTGACTGGAGAACAGCAATGTTTTTAATATGAGAGAAAGAGAATAAGCAATAACTGTGTTAGCAACACTGTAAAACGTTTTATGAAATTGTTGGCCCTTTCCTCCAAAAATCTGTGCTTAGGAAAAAGGAAAAATACGGGGAAGGGCAGAGGGAATTTGGATTTAGTTACAAGTTACATAAAAAAGTAAAGTGAAATAATGCAGGGATAGAATCTACAAGTTTGAAGTCTTGTTCATCTAAAAACAGATTTAGGAAGAAGTATTTAAAGGAAATGTAATGTGGATTTTTAGGTATCAGTTTATTAATTTTCTCTAGTTTACTGTGCAGTGTAAAAACAAAGCACATGTTCCTAAATCTTCCACTTAAAAAAACTGACAGTATTCTGAAGCACAACTGGTTTCATTTTATGAATACAAATATACCCAAGCTGTTTTGATTTTTGCTTTTTTCATAGAGCAATATAGATTACAGTTTCCATCAATTAAAATGCTTTTTTCACATGATTTAAGATTATTTTTTGTATTTTACTACTTTTTTCTTTTATAAAATGGCCAAATTTAGTTTAAAGTTAATTGAGGATTTTGATTATAAATGTCATTCAAGAAATGTCCCTTGTCTGGTTTCGTAAGAATAGTGAATGCAACGCCAGTTACTTTGTTTTACAGCAGATTATACATGCAACTCTCCATTTTGGAGTTGAGCCCATGTGGATAGACTTTTGGGCCTGAATGAATCTTTTGCATATTTAGAGTTAGCATTTCTTCTCTTTTATTGGCAGTACCCTTATTTTCTCCTCATCAATCATTACCAATTGCTTGATACCTTAGCAGAGGAGTAGATCTTTATATGGCTACAGTATCGTTTAAATATGTTTCTACTGCATGCCCTTAAAAGTAATCTTTCAGTGTATTATAATAGCAAACAAGTCTTGATTGCTACTTTGAGTCTTTATGAAATGCTGAATACAAGAATTTTGTTAAATGTGCACAACTTATGCATATTCTTAGGAAAAACAACCCTCTATCAAGAGCTCAGAATATGTATTTGAAATGCTTTACTTAAGAACAGTGATGATCAAAGTTACAAAAACAATGAAAGAGAATGTCACAAAGTTGTTCTTTTGTCCCTGAAAAAAATGATGCCTTGTGTTTGCTGTGTGTGCAAAGTGGGAGTGTTATTTGGCCAATATGGCTGATGTTAAAATAGAAATTTCTTGCCTTACTAAAGGCTTTGCTGTGCTGTCCTCATTATTGAGTTTTGAAATGAAAGTAAAATGGTGAATGATAAGACCTTCCCTTATTTCAAAAAGAGCATATTTAGGGATTTAACAAAACCAGTGTTAAGCACTGAGTGTTTTATTAAACATTTTTGCAGAGCTAAGTCCATTAATTATAGGTATTTCCTTGCTTTTTTATGTATCAGAAGACAGATGAAATTTAGAATTATGTATGCATTCTTCTATGCAGCAAATTGCATTTCTTTAATGGATATGAAAGGACTCCTTGGAGTATAATTAAAGAAAATGTCTGAGTTGAGTGGTGTGTAATAGGAATTGTAGAAAAATATTTATCTACAACACAAATCCCTCACAAAACTGTACAAGTGCCAAGCAGTTTCTGCAGCAGATGTTAGTTATATTTATTGTTGGGAAGTACAGTTGTTTCAGTTTTTAAAAAGTTTCTATTTTATTTTAATGTGTTTTCTACATGCTTTGCTTAGGTAGAAATTATATTGTAGAAGCTGCATGCTGTAAATATTAAGCAATGTCATGAGTAGTTCAGTTCAGAACTTTAATGGCTATTTGTAAGAATATCTAAATAACTTGTTTAATTTATGAAGTATAATTAAACCTAATTCATTTTGCAGGCATGATTGGAGAGTATATTTCGTATTATTGAAGTTATCAGGAAAAATTACTGGAGAAGCTATGTCGAAATACTAATCAGTAAATGTAAACCTTTTTTTCCTATGTTCAGTTGCTGGTTGGCTGTTTCCTAGGTGGTTGTTTCGAAGGTTTTTGGTTTTTTTTTTTTTTTTTTGTTTGTTTGTTTATTTTGAAATGAAATCAAGAAAGTAAGTTTTACATTTCATCCTAGAAACCATAAATTAAGATGCCATTTTAAATGTTGTGCCTATTATTTCTCTTATGTCAGCTGCTGTGGTTTTTATTCCACCTTCCCAGTGTCGAAGTTACTTTTAAGTTTTGTTGTTCCTGTGACAGTAGCACATATTTAAGTGTTTTCAGAGAGCTGCTAAGTGATTTCAGCTGAGCCATGCTGAAATAAAGACTCTGTATGTTAACCAGACTGTAAAACTCATACAAAGGTATTTGAATTGATGGCTATGCTGCAAAATTTTTAGACTAAAATCACAGTGATGAAGATTAATTGTATATAAGTCAGTTCTGACTGCTGTTTCGGGAATCTCCTGAATTAGTAAATAAAAAGAGTTACAAGTGAAAATAAATTCAGTTACTTAGCAGATGGAAGATGGTGACATACCAGTTTGGCCACTGTTTCCTAAACAGAGGGTGCGATTCTTAAACAGTGTACCTAATCATATATATATTTTTAATAAGTATCTTGGTCATGGGGTGTGCTTTTGGTTTTCCATCACAAAAGTGCTTCTGATTGTAACAACTCTTTTTTATTAGTCAGATTTGTGTTAAAAGCTTAAAAATATTACAGGAGATTTATGGTGATAAAAGCACTGTAAATTGCTTTGCAAGGGAACAGCAGGAAATTTAATTATTTATTATTTTTATTATATTA